AGGGACACCTTCCACTAGACCAGGTTGCTCAAAGCTCTGTCCAACCTGGCCTTGAACACTGCTAGGGACAGGGCAGTCACAGCTTCTCTGGGCAACCTGTGACAGTGCCTCATCACCCTCACGGCGAAGGACTATCTACAAGATGCTTGACAAAGCTAGGACAGGATATGCTTGAAATCCCTAAGCCCTTGCTAGCTTTCTTTGGCCCTTGCTAGCTGAGCCTGGATCAGCAGAACAATTTTTTAGATCCTGCAGCAAGCCTAGAGCACATGAAAGGTCCCAGAGCGAAGTGAATCTGGGCACTGCTCTGGTTCCTTTTGCCAAATGCCACCCTGCCATTAAATATCTTTTCCCTGTAAGGCAGTAGTCAGTGTTGGGCTGACAGAATGCCACTGCTGGGCCAAAACTCTAGTCCTGTATTTTGCAATAATTAGCAGGTTTGAGCATGTCCTTAGATCAGCAAAAAACGTGGGAGATGACACAAGTCAGTATTTTATAGTATTCATTTATTTGGAGAGTGTGTGTGTTGTATTTCAGGAAATGTTTAGCGTTCAGGTTCATAGGACTGAATCCAATTTAGTTTACAGGAGACAGCCCAGTGGTCCGTAGCAACCTGAAACTGATTTCCCCCCCCCACCTACCGAAAGCTGTTCCCTCTTGAGTCATCCCTTTAGTTTAATACAGTGAACAGGATGTCCCTGCCTGCATATGGAAACTTTCTTTTTTTTTGTCCTAAGAAGTAGCCTAGGTGAAAAAACCTTCTTACTTGAGCAACAGTCCTGCCTCCCTCTTATTATTGCTTGGCTTTAGTCCTTTCCATGCCATTTCCTTGTGCTCTGTTTCAAGCACTACAGGCCATTATTAGTAACAGTTAACCACTGCTGCCAGTGCAGGGAGACCTCCCCCTGTACAGTCTGGCTACCTTGACTGCCTTTTTTTTCTCAGCAGTGGGTCCCTCTTTGGCATGAAACCCTTTAGGCTGCCCTGCTCTCCCCAGCCTCTGCTGGGTTGACCTGGTGTGGGTGGGCATGCTGAAAAATGTATTCCATGTGGCCTCCATAGCATCAGCCCTGTACCTTTCTCCTTGCAAGAGTGCTCGTATGAGGTACAGTGATGGTGTGCATTGAGGAGCCAGGAGAGTGCTTCTGGCCATGGTGATGCACTGCACAGCTTTTCATCCTAATGCCACTGTTCAGGGCATTGACATTGCTGTTAAGCACCCTCTCTACCTTTTGCTAATTAGGGTGCTTGGGGCTGGGAGTGCTGGTGGCTCTGCTGGAGAGACCCAGCACGGGTGAGGTGGCTGCCTTTGGCATGATGCTGTTGATGAGTCATTTACAGGCCTGGAGATAAGTGTGTTGACCTTGCTGAATATTTTAAACTCAAAAAACATTATAATACTGCTGCTTACGGTGTTCTCTGACTTGTACTGTTTTGGCTCTGTTTTCCCATGCTAGGTCTCTGCTTCCGTCAAAACCTCTTTTTGCAGGTCTTTCCAGTTAAAGCAGTGGACCTGCTTCAGAGGAGGCTTGGTTAAAAGGTGTTTAGAAAGAATGGGAAGAACTGCAGTACCACTTTGCTTCTGTTCATAAAAGAAGTCTTTGCCCTTGCTGTCTCTGTGGTGCCTGAGGACTCCAAGGAAGTGACTTGCCATGTCAGAGGAGTGCCAGGGATGAAGGGCTTAGGACGTTTGTGGTTTTGCTGTCTGGAAGAACATTTGACTACATTTTGGAAGACCAATAGGTTGTGTCTCGTCAGCAGAGAACACAACCTTTTTCTATAGTTGCTTGCCCCTGGTTTTTGCACACCACTGAATGACAGAACAGGCTTTCTCCTGTGCTCTTAGTTCTTGCCCGTTCATTACAGAGCCACTGAGGGAGATGTTGCTGGGCTGGGGCAAGGTGTGCCATGGTAGCAGTTGTCCCACCAGAACTTGTCCCCGTTGACTGTTCCACATGAAGAAAAGCAAGCTGCTGCTTGCATCTACGCTTCGGCCATTAGCACAACTTGCACCAATCTGTGCTGTGAAATCTCTGCCATTCCCTGGCTTGTTTTCTGAAAAAGAAAAAAAAAGTGCATGAAATCAGTATGGCAGAGGCTTCAGTGTGTGTTCACCTGCTGTTGCCTTGAGAGGAAACCACATCATGCAGTGTGCCTGGTGGGTTTCTGTTGTAGTTTTTGTTGTTGTTGTTTTTTGTTTGTTTAGTTGTTTTTTTTTTGTTTCATTTGGTTGGGTTTTTTTGGTGTATTTTTTTTTCCACATCAGTCAAAAATTGGTTTGCTTAATGTGCATTAAAACCATCATCTGAACATCTGGCTGAAGAAGGTACCCAAAACGGTTAATCTCCAGTTCAGTACTGCTTTTATTGTTGCATCCAACTGCTTAAAGGATGGTAATGAGTGCACCTGTAATGATGATTTTCAGATGCAGATGTAGCAAAGGCATCTACTACTTTCAGGTGTCAAAACTGAGACTTACAAGGCCTATTTCTTCTTAACAGTTTGTGTTTTGTAGTGCTATACATGGTTATAGTACAAGTTGCAATTAGATATTGAACAGAGAACCTCAGTTCATTACAGCTAGTTCTTTTCTCTTCTGGACATGGTCTTTCTGTATTTTTAGTTAGCCAGAAAAGGCACAGCAATAAATATATTGGAAAAATTTGATATATGTGACTTTCCTCTTATTGCTCAGGAGGTTTATGGCAGAAGCATGAGCAGGACCTAATCTTTAATCAGAGTGACACACAGCTACCAGACCATGAAGCATCCTTTCTGGTCTCCTTACCATTGCCTGACTTTCACGCTCCCCATCTTCTGAAAACCGAATGAAGCTGAGGAGGACGTGGACCCATACGGTTGCAAGCTCCTTTTCCGCATGACCTGGCTTTATAAACTAGCATCAAGTAGACACCTCTCTATTTCTCAGTGAGCTTCCATGTGTCCTTGTTTGCAGGCCTCCCTTTAGCAGGAGCTCTGCCTGCTTGAGAGCTGGGTTTAGAGCTAGGTACAACCTGGCTGGGAGATGTACAAGTTCTTCGACTGTTGGCTGTAACTTCTGACAGTGGGATATTTGTAAATTTAAATGCTTCCTCCCAGAAGTATCAAAGGAGCTAAGGCCATTTTTCAGCATGAACATGAAAGGCTTTCACGCACTAGTGCAGTGAGGATTGCCATGGAGAACAAAGGCTTTTGCTAATCGCTTCTAATGCCTTTCAAGTTTATGCCTCATTTTTTCCGCTTTTTCAGACAGCCTCCCAGAATGCTGAGACTTCAGTGACTGACTCACCAAATAATTAACAGGAGGAGGACTCCATCTCTGAAACTTTTGAACACCTCTTTTAATTTTCGTAAACCAACCAGTACTCTGGCCAGGTTCCAGTTTGTGTAATTACATTTGACCTAACTTAATCCCTTGGCAGTTTCAATTGCATGTGGTAGTTGTCTTGGCTCCCTATTCTGGGCTGCCATTCAATGCTACTCCATGGTTTTCAACAGCTGTCTTAATTCAGATAGAAAAACGGGTGTGTTTTCTTGGTGGAACGCTCCTTGTATCTCTATCCCTTGCTAAATATCCTTATCTCTCCAGTATTTTAGGAGGTAGCATGTCTGATGCTGCAGATAATCTTGCAGAAGTCCTTGGAGCTACTTTCACTCTCCAAGATGGGCATGCATTTGAACTGTTTTATTAGTTAGCCATCTAAGTTCTTCATCTTCAGCAATAGGCATTTATTGCTCAGTCTCCTCAGCTATTGTGTGCTGCTGTAGAGACATTATTGGTATTCCTCGTTAGCCTTGAAACAGCACTTCTGTTATCAAATCTGTTCTAAATAGGAGCATGTCACCTTCCTGTGCTGACAGCAGTTGGGCTGGCTGTGTTAGCATTGGTAAAAGTGGGAAAGACCAAGAAAAGCAAGAGTCCAGGGCAGCTGAGGATTACAAAGTTAAAAAAAAAGTAGCAAAAGAGATAGTTGGATAATGCATACAAGAGAGAAGACCCTAAGTTGTTGCACTGGCATAGCCTTAGATGTGCAACACGCATCCTGTTTTCATAGCAGGTGGCAAGTTGAGTGTTTCTTGGCTTCAGTTCTTGGAAAAGGCATATTTGTAACAAAGCCACTTGATGTTTTGGGGCTAGCAGCAGCCCCTGCCAAGGAGAGACAGGAATTTAGAGGATATGGTGATGCAAAAGGTGATCCACTGGTAAAAGATGCTGTTGTGGCAAAATGCCTGTTACCATCTAGTTCTGTTTTTCTGAGAGCCTCCAAAAGTAGGATAGCAAATGTGTTACTGCTCTTCTCCCTTGGTGCTTGTTCTCTCTCATGAAATTTGGGTATGTTTGTTGTTCAGAGCTCTTGTCTGTGTTTCCAAACACTGTTCGTGTAAATCCTTTCTTTATTCTTTCCCCACTATCACCAAACCCTTGGTGATGCCCTTGGTTTTAGGAGAAAGATTTTGATAGATAAAAACATCCTGAAGATCAGGAGGTAAGGCCTATGTTGTGAACCCAAAGGTTCCTCAGTCTTTCATCAGACCTGACATTTTTCCTCTGGGTCTATCCCATAATTACACACACACAAATTTAACAGTAGACTAGAAGTCTTGCCTCTGTTGGTTTCAGTGACACTGTAACTGAAGTCATCAGTAGCAACATTAAGATTTGTCCTCTGTCTCAGTCAATAAGCTTTGGAACTAGGGACATCTGATTTTGATATGTGCTGGGTATTGCTTATACCTTGGTAGAACATTCTTTGAAGTTAGTGAGCGCTTTGATTCATAAAACACAGATTTATCAAACCCTTATGGTGGTTGTCAAAGAAATTGTGGCCAAGTTTGAGTGGTGGTACATAATGTGTCTTATAGTCACTGGTGTTACTTTTGAAGATCTGTTTAAATGTTAAATAATGGTGTGGAAGAAATTGCACTCAGTGTTGTTGGGGTTTCTTTACTGCTGGATCCTCTGCTTACCATCCTAAAGACAAATCTTCTTCTTATTTCAGAGTACTTTATTACTGGGTGTGCCTGAATGCATCAGCCTTTGGATGTGAACATCTTCTCGTGAAACAGCCTTGTGATATCCTAGCTGCCTGTTCTCTCAGGGTAAGAAAAAAATACACATGCAGAGACACAAGATTAAGAACGTGCTTTGAGCAGAAGCAGCATGGCAAAGAGAGAGGAAACCACACTGATGCCTCAGCTTGTAAATTTTGGATATAGTCAGCTTGTCATGGAGAGAGGGAATAAACTGTAAATCTGCCCACTCTAAATAAGACAAATTATGAGCTCAAGTTTGAGGAAGAAAAACTTAGAAGAGACATTAGGAAATTATGTTCTGCATTAAAAATAGCTGAGCATTATTAAAAATAGTTGATTCCTTGAAGATCTTAGGCAGTTTCAGTCACTGGAAAGGTTTGTGAGCAAGATGGAAAAACTCCAGCTGACATGCTTTTAGGAGAGCCAATCCTTCAGTGTGGCAAAGAAATGGACTTGATGACTTCTGGAGAGTCCTCCTTAACTCATCAATGGTTAGAAATGGGAGCATGTGAAATTCTTATCTCAACCTTATTCGAAACTGATAAGGTAAAAGGTAAAGCTCACTGTGCAGAAGGAGCTGCCTGGTTTGATGATGGCCTGATGCACGAGCAATGAAACGTTGGGTTTAGTGTCTTTGTTAACTGAAAGGTGATGTTCTCTGGAGGGAAGTGTAAGCTCATAGAAAAGGAGGTTAATTTACAGCTGCTGGCATGTAACTGTATTGGGTTTACATGGCAAGGTTTTGGTAGCAGGGGTGTTACAGAGCCTCTCCTCACAGCCTGTGTGAGAAGCTGCTAGAAGTTTCTTCTGTGCCTGATGGTTCCAATGTCAGCTGGCTCCAAGATGGCCCTGCTGCTGGCCAAGACTGAGCCCATCAGTGATGGTGGTAGTGCTTCTGGGATAATATCTTTAAGAAGGGGGAAAAAGTTACAGTGTGGGAGTAATTACAACTGGAGGGATGAGAGAAACCAAGGTGAGGGAAGAAGGAGGAAGAGATGTACTCTAGGTGCCAGAGCAGAGGTTCCTCTGCAGCCCATGCTGAAGCAGGCTGTGCCTCTGCAGCCCATGAAGGTCCACAGTGCATCAGATATCCACCTGTAGCTGATGGAGGACCCCAAGATAGCGCAGGGGGATGCCTGAAGGAGGCTGTGACCCTGTGGGAAACCTGTGCTGGTCGAGGGTTCTGGCAGGACCTGTGGCCCCATTGAGAGAGGAGCCCACACTGGAGGAGGTTGTAAAGAGCTACAGGCCATGGGAAGGACTCACACTGAAGAAGCTTGTAAAGAGCTGTCTGCCATGGAAGAGGTCCCCCTCTGAGCAGGGGAAGAGTGTGAGGAGTCCAACCCTGAGGAGGAAGGAGTGGCAGTGACAATGTGTGATGAACTGACTGCAACCATCATTCCCTGTCCTGTGCTTCTGATGGGGAGGAGGTAGAGAAGATCAGGTGTAAAGCTAAACCTTGGAAGAAGGGAAGGATAGATGGATGGAAGGTGTTTTTCAGATTTGGTTTTATTTCTCATTATCCTACTCTGATTTGACTGGTAATAAACTAATTTTCCCAAGTTGAGTCTTTTGCCCATGACAGTAATTGCCGAGTGATCTCTCCCTGGCCTTATCTCAACCTATGAGCCTTTTGTTATATTTTCTCTCACCTCTCTAGCTGAGGAGTGGAGTGATAGAACAGCTTTGGTGAGCCCCTGGTGTTTAGCCAGGGTCAGCCCACCACAGCAATGTAAACTTGTGATAGAAACGGGAGGTTCTATCAATTCTGGATCCTTTGTAACAAGTTCCTGGGAGTTTTGTCTTTTCTGTGATTCATGTAAGGGCTTTATTCTTACTCTCAGGTGGGTAACCCCACCTACTTTATTATGACATGAGAACATAGTGCTGATAGAGGTATTGTGACTAAAATACAGATAACATGGAACACAGAAAGAAAGCAAATGATTATTTTTCCTCTCTGTTTCCAGGGGCCAGTAAAATAGAAGTTCTGTTTTTCTTTTTTTTTTTTTTTATCTTTTTTTTTTTCTGTTCCTGCTCTCCATTGTGTTTCTTTGTCCTGTCTTGACAGCAAACACAGCAGGCTTTTTCTGTGTTCAAAAATGCTGTCTCACCAGATGGGTCTTGAAATTATGTCCTGAAGATGTCTGCTCATTTATTTCCCTTGCTCCTCCCTCACTCTCCTGGGAGCTGCAGATGACAAACCTATCTTGGGCTCAGGCAGCCTCTGAGCCGTCATCATGCGAGGAACAGGGTTCAGATGCTTCATCTTCTGTGGTCCAATTAAGAAGGATAGTGAGACACCTGCAATTCAATGGGAAGTTCTTCAGCCTCCTGTTGGACTTTGAGATTCATTTGGTTTCTCTAATATTTACCTTTCATCCTTAATGTCAGCAAATATTGGTGTCTCCCCTGGAGTTATGCTGGTGTCTTCGTGTTCATTATCATCTTCTATTTAGCAGAGATAAACGATTGTGTCTCAGGGGTACAAGAACATGGAAGAAACTTCCAAATAGCTTTAGGAAATGCAGATGGTGTCAAGAGGGAAGTAAGGGGATGCCTTTTTTGAAGTCACTTTTGTACATGTTTATGTGTGGTTTTCTTTCCTGCAAGTATCTGCTCAAATCTTGAAAGCAGAATATGTTCATGGAAAGTTACAATTTACTGTGTGCCCCCGATCTTTTTATCTCAATCAATCAAATCAATCCAAAACCTTGCAGTTCACCTTGTTGCAAGGACGGTTAATAAGTTGAGGTATAGTGCCAATGGCAGTGATGGTTTTCCAGCCTTGTGCTTTTTTTTACTGTTGTTGTTATTTTTTATGATTCTGACCTTTTGGACTGGTCAGGGTAAGATTATTTCCAAAGAGTACCCATAAATAACTTGTCAGTATAAACATTCAAGCATTGCTGTTTAGCAAAAGAAAACCATATGCCAAAGGTCAATTTAGATTTCCCTGCAGGATTGAAAATAATGACAAGAATCACTTAACATGGCAGAAATGAGTCCTGCCACCTTCACGAGAGTGGTTGCCTTGCTGGATGCGCCTGAAGATTTGGCATCTGGCATCTTGTGCTGGAACTAGCTTGGAGTCCCTGGTGCATCTGCTGGCTCTCTGAGGTGCAAGCTCAGCCAATTGGCAGTATTCTTTGTGTCCTGCAAAGAAGTCCTGTTTCCATCCTTGCACTCTGAGAGTAAGCCATCATGCATTGGGACACATTACTTAAGAAAGTCCTACTGCATCCTGGTTCATTATGAGCAGTGCCCTTGGGTTCCTTGTTGTGATCTTTAGGTGCTTTGGGAATCCCACATTTATGGCTCAGTTTTCCGTGCTGTGATTATTCACTGGAACACTTCCTAGATGTCTCCCATCTAATGTTTGCCACCAAGGAAGCTTGCAGCATCCAGTGTGGCAAGAATCTTCCTTGTCTGTCAAAGTATAATGCTGATTATCGATGTTTCTGCTATCCTGTCAGCAGAATTGACTTCTGTGGGTGAGGGCAGCATGAGGAGTGAAGCTGAGTGCCAATAGCTGCTCTTTAAGCATTAATCTACAATGTTTGAAAACCACATCAGTCTTGTGTAGTAATTATACAATTGGTAGAATTGTAGAATTTCTACAAATCAGTAAAAATGTGTAGAAAAACACATCTTGTGTAGAAATGGTCTTTATGCAGTGCCTGGTCATGGATGTAAATATAGTTTGTCACGAGCATGTGGCTCTTCGGAGTTTTGGGGGGTTTTTTTCCTTCTGTCATAGATAAGAAAGTAAAGGTGTTGAAGACCACTTGCTTCACCCACAGGAAGGTGCGTAGCAGTGGAGCCCTGAGGTTAGGTCTGAGACCCATAGGTTTGGCAAAAAAATCCCCAAAACCTAAATGTGGTGAAAGGCAACTTGTTTCCTGAAAAAAAATAAAAAAATAAAATAAATAATAATAAAAAAAAAATCAATTGAGAAAGCAGACTGGGACTAGGCAGGGAAATAACAGTGCAAAATGCAATGCGACTTGTGGGAAGTCGTGCAGCACCTCAGTGACTGAGCCACTGCAACAGCCCAGCGGCTCCGAATCCAACCCTGCAGTGCTGTAACTTGCAGTGAAACAGATGGGTCTGGTTATTTGTTAGCATCAGCCAAAAACTTTCAAAATAAAATAAATTAGTGTTTGGTCCCATCTTAAAGTCTAAAAGCCATTTCTCCAGCACCTGTAAATAACTTAAGTCTATGCTGGTTGTACCTGGCTTGCACGTAAAAAAGAGAAAAGATGACTGACTGAGGGTGGCACAGCAGTGCCTTCACTTGGTGCTGCTGCACCCTTCCAAGCCTTGTGGCCCTGCCATGGGGTGGGGAGAGGTGTCCTCATCTCTATGGATAGCTGCTATCCTTGAGATGCCAAGGGGAAAAGCCCTCCAATACGCAGGAGTTTTGCATGGCCCAGATGCTGATGTTCTTTTTTCTTATTCCAAAAGGGAATGGCAATTAGCAGCAGGGGTAATCACCACCTTGAATTAAACTGTATGGAGGCATGAAAAATAGCAGGGTATATTTCGAAATATCTATTGCATATATATATTCCTCTTAAGAAACATGTTGGAGATGCCATATTCATAAATACTAATAAGGCTGTTTGATTCCAATTTTCAGGTAAGATTAACATTTTATTGAGTATTATATCTGTCACATTCAATGCTTTAGTGTACCATCCTCTCAGGCTTATTAGCATAATTGCAGTGCTTAAGCAACAATAAAAAATTCAACAGTAAAATAGCAGTTAGCGCAGGCAATTTGTTATCAAAAGCTTTTACTTAAGGACAGCTTTTGAGCGTATTTATTATCAAGTTAGGACTATACATTATTTTTATTTAGAAAAACAAGACTGAAATGTTTTAGCTTTTTCTTTTTTTTTTTTGGTCTTGTTTTAATGGCTAAAGCAGAAGGCCTGAAAATTGGTCCCAGCCTTTTTCTGTTTCTTAAAATCACTCAGCAAATTCACTTGGAGAGGGAAGATGAGATAATGAAACATCTCAGGTCTGGAGCAGGGTTGTGGCTGTAATAACTCAGCAGAGCA